TACACTTTTCTGCATTGAATGACATACCCCATGATGTTGCCCACTTCTACAGTACGAGTAAGGACACTCTGGAGGGCTAACTGGTCGCTCTATTGTAGATGGTGCGGTACAGAACAGCGTCATCAGCAAAGAGGCGAATAGAAGTAGAAAGGGTCAGTTTCCGCCAACAAATTATTTATAAAGGATAAGAACAGCAGTGGACAAGCACAGAACCTTGGGGTATACCCGATGTGACAGCGGCCACATCTGACATGCTGCTGCACAGACAATTTGAGATCTATCCTTCAAAAAGTCAGAGATCCCATTTTAACGTAGTAGTATCCAAACCCAAGTGACCAAGTTTGAAGATTAAAAGGTCATGAGGAACCCTATCAAAGGCCTTACTAAATCTAGGAATACTGCATCAACTTGCTGAGATTTGTCAAGACTTAGTGTCCAGTCATGAAAAACGTTGATTAACTGGGAACGCCATATACATCTTCGTTTGGTGCTTTACTAATTACATTTTTCTTCTGACTTTCATTAAGCACTGGAGCACCATAGTTACCTTACAGTTTGCTTTTAACATCTCGATCGGTGTGCACGTCTGCATTAACATTTGTTTCTTTCTGACGCGAAGAGGCGAACTGGCGAACTTCCACCACAGCTGGAAGAAGGTGTTCCTGCAGGAACGCGATAATCACTGGACAGTACCTCGTAAGTCGCTATCAGTTTACGGCAAAGCAAGACGCTCCGCCATGACGGCCGTCGCCACGGTAACGGGATTCATGTTGGCGAGCATACTGGCGTGCGCGGGCTTTTTCCTCACCAGCAGCAATAGTCAGCGGCACGTGGAGTTACGCGAATTAGAGATCACTGTGCCGCTTGCGTCGCTCACGGAAATATTATTGTTTTTCGTTGCAATCTTCGTCGCTATACTTCTCGTGTATTACATATTCATGCTGCCCATCTCGCTGATCGGCTGTCTGTGCGAGTTACTGACGCTAGAGTTCTCTAAGTTAACGGCAATTCTCGACGATATCGTGGCGGAGGAGAGCGACAGGACGTCGGCACTCGGCCGAGGAAACTTTCCTCGCATGGATATCTGCAGACGAGTGATGCGGCGCCACCAGTACCTCTGCACGCTAGTGGCGCGCACCGACGCCATCTTTGGACCGCTTCTGCTGTTGACGTACACGACGTCTGTAATCCTGATGTGCATTCACTTCTACAACATGGTCTATATTGCAAAATTGCTGGGCTTCACACTGAAGATGCTGCTTCTGATTCTCATCGGTGTTCATTTCTGTGCAATCGCCATTAAATACGTGGTCAGTCTAACTCTCTCAGCAGCCAGGCTCATGGAAGCGGTAGGTTCACCCCTTACACCTTCTGAAGAGTTCACATTAACAACTATTATTGTATCCCCCGCGACGAAGTCGGCGGGTATACTATGGTTTCATGTCTGTCCAGCCAAAACCCAAAGGTACCAAAACCCCTAAGGCAACCAATTTTTACATACTTGTACATCTCAGGCAGATGAGTTGTGTAACAAACCCTTTGTCTTTGTGACTTATTTAACTTTAATCCTACCTACCTTCTACGTCCTTACAGAGATATTTCATTCAAACTAGATCACGGGGGATACATGTAGTTGGCGACAACTGCCCTTTCTAGTTATTATTGTTATGACTATCATCGCCGTTAGTGCCTTGCTCTCCTTAAGCTCGACCACTAGACCGTATTAATCAGGCCGATAAAATCGGGCGACAAAATCGCCCGCTGAAAATCGCTACGTGTGTCCACTCAATCGCCTGTCATTTAATCCT